AGGCATTTATTGGCTCTGCCCATCCTCCACTGGGTGTGAGGGTTGCCAGAAATTGTCTTCTTTGTCACTGCTTCTCTCAATGACTATGGCTATTCTTTGACCACTGGTGCTAATGTGTAGTGTTCTGGTACAGTTCTTCTGTCCAGGTGCTCAAGGTTCAGGGCATACCCCTGGCAACAGAAGTGAGTTTTGCTGTCATACAATTTGAACTTGATTCTGAGTTGCTGATCCCATAAGCATAGGTTCTGATATTAGTTTGCCAGTCTGGAGATCTGGAATCAGCCTTCCCCTCATGCCTCACCTGATTTTATCAGATTTGCTCTCTTGCCCAGCACAGTCAGCCCTGTGCCATGTGGCTGAATCCTCAATCCTGCCTGTTCCGGTCTTTACTGCCCATTTGCTGCCCTATCTCTCAATATTGTATGATGTGGACTTGACCACAGAGCACATCACTGGAAAACATTCTTTTCATCAAAATGGGTGTATTCTTTCATTATGGTTTAACAATGTATTCACTAACTCCAAATGTTGTCTTTGCCAGGCTGGCTAATAAGTGGTTGGCTTTGGTCCCTGTCCATTCCTGGGAGCGTAGAGCCTAGGACAATTAGGAAAGCTGGTAATACTAACCCTCTCTCATCTCTGAACCTTTGCACATGGTGCTTGCTTCCTGAAACCTTTCTCTTCCCTGCCCCAGCACCATCTCTGGATCACTTTGATGCATACTTCAGGCCCTAGCTTAAATATTTTTGCCTTCAGAAAGACCTCTCTGGTCCCCTCCCCACCCTCAAAGTCTTCTCTATGTTCCTTCAACCACTGTGTTCCATCCATCCTAATAGATACCTCTGTGAATTGCCATAATCTGTCTGTCTCTCCCTGAGACTGTGCACTCCTCAAGGAAAGGGCCCCATCTGATCATGCTGTACCTCCAGCAGCCAGCCCAGCTGTTCAAATTTGTTGAGTGAAAGAAAAAAAAATTAATGAATGAATGATGGAGAAGAAGACTTCTCCATTCTCATTAAGCTCTGAAAAAAGGAAAGAAAGTTTGTAATTTCTCTTTTTCTATGTCCATGATGCATACATAGGTTTTTGGTTTAAGTGTGAGAAAATGTAGGCGTGTGATGACATATAATGACATTTTTCAAAGAGCGACTCATGGAATACTCATTACTAGTAATATTAAGAGATGTCATGCAGGGGGAAAATGTAAACAGGTTTCTCTGCTGCAGAAGATGTAGGACACTTTACTATTATACTGTGACTAAGGGGAGAATTAATGGCTTATCAAATATATTTATGAATGCTTTTCAAGAGGTATCTATAGTTGGAAAATAAGCAATCAAAATACTACTGGATACTTGGGAAGAGAAAGGAAACACATCCTTTAATACTCAATATTGTATACATCTGGGAATGGTCACACACAGCTTGTGTATGTGTTTGGTTTGATCTTGAAGGTCTAAATTGGTTGCCAACATTTAAAATTTGGTAGACTTCACATAAAAATCTATATTGCTGGCTTATCTTCTAAAAGTGGCTACCCTGGGTTTGTAATTCCATAGGGAATTGGGCTGCTCTCCTTAGAGAAAACTTGTGCTCTCCACTGTGGCCTCATACCTGGTGAGCCTCACCAAGACTCATCATCTTCTTGGCTCTGTAAGTGTTTGAGTTTGCAATGTCAGCTTTACATTACACGTGCTGCTTTTAATTAATTTTGAGATTAACTGAAAATCATAAATTTGGAGATAAATTATGTGGTATAAAATGATGTAATCTCTGCTTATATCTAATTTGTTAGTGAAGATAATTCCTGAGAAAACACACTATGATCATTGCTTACAAATTGTGTTGAGAGTTCATGCCATCTACTGGACAAATAACCTGGAATCCTAGACAGAGCTGGGGGCTCAGAGATCATCTTCAGCCTTTATTTACTGATAGAGCTAAATAAAGCCCAAGAAAGAAAGGGACCTACCAGAAATTTATGGTGCTGCAACTTCCTAAACCTATAGCATTGATTTTGACAATGGACACTACTTAATGGCTACACAATATCCCAGGCTCTGCACTGAGTACTTTGTTGATTCCTGACACCTCTGCTAGGTAGGAGTCACTATGCGCAGTATGCAGGTGAGAGATACAAGGCTCGGCAAAGTCAACTGGACTGTCGAAGGCCAAACAACTAGTTAGTGTTGGTGGGATTAAACTGTAGGTCTGTCGGGTTCCCTGTATACCCACCATTTTGTTGCTGTTGCTGTTAGCTGCCACTGAGTCAGTCATCGACTCATGGCGCTGTCTGGTCCTGTATCATCCTCATGACTAGTTGTAAACTGTACAGTTGTGATCCACAGGGTTTTCATTAGCTGCATTTTAGAAGGAGATCACTAGGACTTTCTTCCTAGTTTCTTTTAGTCCCTTTTCACTGTGGTATTCTCAAGTTCAGTAGTATCAAGAAGATGAGGGCAGAAAATTACAATTTGGATAAATCATCAGGTTCCAGAGACGTAATGATTCACCTGGCTGTGGCCATAGACAATATTAACTCTCATCTTTGATTAGAGACAAGCAAAATTTTGCATCAGGGGTCAGCACCAGCAAAAAACACAGTGAGTCTTACAAGAGGCATTCCTATGGGAAGCAGAGTTAAAAATGATTAGCTTCCAAACAGGATATCAAATATGTAATTTCCATGAAAACTAAGAGAACAGACTAAAGATTACTGAAGAACACTATTTATGTTAAATAGACTAAGAACACTCCATATTTTTGCTCTGGTCTTAAAGGATGCAAACAGTATAGTATAATCTCAACTAAACACATCTTACATGTGGTAGAGGAGAAATGAACACAATTTCACCTTCTATTTTGTTCTCTAATGAAATGTAAACTTGGGCTTCATTTTGTCATTAATACATTAAAATTGTTAGGAAGTATATATAATTACATGGACAAATACTTATGATAAACCATTAGGTAAAAAATAAATCAAAATAAAATGTTAAAACACTGTGAATACATTAACTGGGGGAATCTTGGTTTGTTCATATGGGCAAGGTCTAAAGTAAGACCTTAAAATATAAAAGCATTCATTCATTTGGTGATTGACTTGTGAATAAATATTTTTTTTTATGATTTTGCTTTATTTCTATTAATGTTCTTATAATATTGTTTGCGTGATTACTTTTTAAAATTATTTTAAAGGCAAAAAACTTGATGGGCTTCAGAGAATTAACATGCTTTCCCATATGAAAATGAAGAAAGGAATTAAGACAGTGCAGTGTTGGTACAGAGATAAGCAAATAAACAAATGGTATGGAAAAACATGCTGGAAATAGATCAATACATTTATGGAAACTTCATATATGGCCAAAATAGGATGAAAAATTCATTGAAAAAAAATATGTTTCCTTCTTCACACTATATCCAAAATTAAATTCCCAGTAGTCTTAAAGTCCAAGTGTAAGAAAACAACACTAAAACTTTTATAAAAAATTTAGACTATCCTTTGTACCTAAATGAGCAAAGATAATACATATTCAGGATAAAAAGAATGAATCCAGCAACACTAAAATTAAAAGACAACTTCTGTTCAAAACAACTTTTGTACAAAAGAAAACAAAGCTAAAATCAAGCCACAGACTTAGTCTCTGTGTGTACAAATAACTTAAAAAGGACAATTAATAATTCAAAATATGGTAAACATCCCCATTTCAAAGAAAATGGGTATAGGTTATGAAAAGACAATTTATAAAGAGGAAAACAAACTGTTAATAAACAGATCCCAAGATAGACAAGATACTGAACCTTACTGATCAAAGAATTGTTAATTAAGATGCCATTTGACAGCTCTATGACTGGCAAGAATTAAGATGTTGACTTAAACCAAATACTGTTGGAGATGAATGACAGGTCACCATACACCATTGTTGTTTGCTGTTGTTATTTGCCGTCAAGTCGGCCCCGACTCATAGCGACCCCTCCTTGGGTTTCTGAGGCAATATCACTACGGAAGTAGGATTGCCCAACCTTCCTTCTGAGGAGTGATTAGAGGTGTATAAACTGGGCAATCATTTTGGAGAGCAATTTGTCAATATTCTGTAAAGTTTAAGATGAACCCATCTAATGGCCTAATAATCCCTCGTCTAGAAAACTCTACATGAAATCTGAGAGAGATGTACAACCTGCTCATTGTTTCCAATGATGAAACACTAGAGCAACCTACCAGTTGCTACCAAGTCAATTCCAGCTCATGGCAGCCTCATGCGTGTTAGAGTAAAGCTATGCTCCGTAGGGCTTTGAATGGCTGTGATCTTTCAGAAGTAGACTGCTAGGCCTTTCTTCTGAAATGCCTTCAGGTGGACTTGAATATGCAAACTTATGTTGTTGTTGTTGTTTGCCGTCGAGTCGGCCCCGACTCATAGCGACCCCTCCTTGGGTTTCCGAGGCAGTATCATTACAGAAGTAGGATTGCCCAACCTTCCTTCTGAGGAGTGGCTGGTGGGTTTGAACCGCCAGCCTTCTGGTGAGCAGTCAAGTGCCTTAGGCACTATGCTACCAGAGCATATCATAGTTGACAAATGCAGCTGTGCCACCCAAGGACTCCATGAATAGGAAAATGGATAAATAAATGGAACTAACGACACAGGTGTCATCACAGACATGATACCGAGTAAAAAAGTATCCTGGAAGTATGATTCCACGTATATACAGTGTAAAATCAAGCAAAACAAAATTATACATTATTTATAAATATATACATGTATACAAAAAAGCATATATACAAAAAAGCATGGGAACATGCACATGAATAATAAACTCCAAAATCAGGAGGGTGGTGGTGACTTCTGGCTGGCACACAGTAGACCCATAATTAATATTTATTGGATTGAAATGAGAGATGGAGGAGCCTGAATATAATGACAGAAGATTTACCTCTTTTAAACTTGGTATGTCAGATGTGTGAGAGACTGCACTTTTCAGCTGTCACATGTCACATGACTCACCTTTGATGTGAATGCTCCTCGCTGTTCCTCTCCCACGAGGGGCTCCTTTGGGGACCCAGTTCTGGGGTTCCAGTTAGATCTTGGTCGCTGCAGTCTTCCTGGTCTGTGGCCCACTTATCTTTCGACTTCATGCTGTCATGCTGTGAATCCAGGGAAATGATGTCTGAAGGGGAGCTCATCACTCCAGAGTCTTCAGTCGTGTCTTCTGATGCAAAGCAGCTGCCCACAGACACAGTCTCCTCAGCCTCAGAGAGTGCCAAGGGGCCACAATCCACCATACAATTGTTACTGGGCCCCAAGGGCAGACTCACTGGATAAAACATGGCAAAAACAGGTCAGCTCAAAGTACCTAACAAACACAACATCAGTTTGTCTGATTAATCTGAAATTTGGAATTGAGGGTAGTATTAAGAATAAAGGAAACTATTCTGTTAAAGGTAACAATTTTCTCCAGAAAAATTTTAACTTGAATGAGCCAAGTGCATACCTGTGATGGAAAGCAACCTCTCCACAACCCCCCCCCCCACACCCCCCACACTTTAAAAATTAGTACTTTATTCATTAGCCTCTTTCATTTATTTTTGTCCTATATAAGTCTGTGGACAAACATTTAAATATTCAAACTAATGATATTGTGAATTTGATTACTTCTAGTCATTGGCTCTTGGTTTAATTGAAGTTGTTTAAAATGAATTCTTTTCTTTTTTAAAGAATAGTTAGACTGTTTAGAAATGTAAACAAATGTATAAGTAAAAAATACTTGATTGAGAATTTCTCACAAATATTTGAGTTACATTTGAAATTTTGACCGAAGATATTAATGACATGATCCCTCAGTTAGCATTGGCTCTCCTTTAATTTTAAATGTGAGACAGTCTGAAAAAAAAAAAAAGATGATCTTGGAAGACAGCTTCAAGTAAAATTAAAAAGAATAAAAAACTAGTATCCTTGGTTGAGGTCCCTGTCCTAATAGTGATTTATGACAGCAAAAGCAAGGAGATGAACTGGCAAAAGCCTAGTTCCCTTGAGCATTAATATGAATAATGAGGAACACTGTAGCCATTCTGCACATCTATCTAGCTACTTAGGGATAGATGTATTTAGTTAGTATGAGGTTATTATTTTTTTCTTACTGAGCTACTGGGTTCTCTAAGTTCATTAAAACTGCTTTCCAAATGCATAGCTCCAGGCCAGCTAGATAGTAGAATTTATTTTATTGCATAAAAGACATTTTAAGATCTAAACATCTTATTTCTAAGTATTGTTTATGTTAGTCCAGGAAATAAGGACTATGTGTTGTTGTAGTTGGTGTATTTTGTTTTAAACTTTTTTCAGTAAGTAGTCATTGGTTGTCTAAAATGATAAGGCTTTTAAGATATCTCTGAAGTCTCACACACTGATAGGGAAATGCCATAACATTTGCACCCAATCCCACCATAATGTTAATTGGACAGGAGACTAAGAACACACAATTAACAAAACCAAAAGAGCACCCAAGAGAAAACCCCTTCACATGCTGGCTTATTTGAGATTCCAAACAATGAAAGAAACGAAGAACAAAAATTATGAATGAATACAAGGTTCACACAAGAGCTCAAAAAGAAGGCACAGAACACAAAGGAGGGACTGTTTGGAGAAGCACAAATGCACAAGGCAATATATCTCAATGCAGTGAATGCTTTTTAACAATAACCTCTCCTTGCTTCCTTCCCGGCTTTTGTTGCAAGACTCTTAATTAGAAGGCAAATGTGGAAAAGAAACACTGCCCAAAACAGGTGAAGACAACCCTAAACATTTTCTACCAATACTTTACTGATCTCCTATCACAACTTGGGTGGCTGCCAACTGCTATGTACCTATAGTCTCTTGTTGTTGTGTTGTTGTTATGTGCCATCAAGTTGGACCCAACTCATAGCGACCCTTCTTTGGGTTTCTGAGGCAGTATCACTTCCGAAGTAGATTGCCCCATCTTCCTTCCGAGGAGTGGCTGGTGGGTTTGAACTGCCAGCCTTCTGGTTAGCAGTCAAGTGCCTTTGGCACTATGCTACCAGAGCTCCTACCTATAGCCTCTAAGTCAGAGAAATCTCTACTCAGAGAGCTCTCTATAGCATAGCCACTCAGTGACCAGGAAGGTCCCCACTCTTTGCTTGTCCTTTCCCGTGTGTGCAACAGGTGCTGGGAGATGGTGCTGAATGGAAGCAAGTCAGAGTCTACCTGAGCCTACACGTCAAGGAGTCAAAAAAGCAGCTTAGGTGAAACCATGTCAGTGCCTGAGAAGAAGAGATGAAGGTGTATGTGATCCCATGACAGGAAATGGGACATTATGGGGAGGGGCAGATGGAGGGAGTTCTCTGAGGAAATGAGGCTTGTGTCAAGCTCAGAACACAGGGAGTAGAGTGAAGGGGAGATAAGATTCAAGAAGAGACATAAGCAGGTGCAAAAACTTTGTGGGTGAGCAACATCCATCCCCCATTACCTCAGGGGGAGCTGTCTTAGAGAGAACAGTCTTGGAGAGAGGAATAGTCCCATGAGGCCTCAGCCTGGGTCAGTGGTGGTGGTGACTGCTTTCACAAAGTCTGCTTTATCAGCGTAAGAATCTTTGGTTTGGAAGTAGACATCCCCCACTTGCTTACCCTGCCCCTCCTTTTTCTTTTCTCCTTTTGGCTGGTTCCAGTGATTAGTGCCATGAGCTGTAACATGTTTTGACACTTTCTGAATGAGCAATTGGTACAGGAGACTTTCTTTCCCCTTACCAATTCTAAACAGAAGCCTAAAACATAAAAGGGAAACTCTTAAGTTGCTTTGGCTGCAATGAGATTGGGGGCCCAGGTCCTCCTGCACTCATTCTGGGTACCGTACTTTCTTCCCTACCACAGACCCTGGAGCACTTCCCCCAAAGCCAGAGGTCCTGGGACTCCAACCTGAAGTCCAGGGCCTACAGGAGGAAGACTGGATAAAAAGCCAGAATTCCACATTCCAGGTGAAAGTTCTACCCTAGTATGATTCTTTCTCTTTTGTATTTTGTATGATTCTTTCTCTTTTCTATAAAATAAGGGAGATACTCTTGATTAACTCTAAAATCCATTTTAGACTTGAAATTCCAAACCAGAATATATTATGGAAACACAAACTGATTAGTGATTAATTAGGAATCTAAAAAAGAATACAGCATTACCTTTACCCTATTTTCTGTCTGCCCTCAGAGTGTTAAGTCATTATTTTGGAGTTAATTAATGCACCAACAAATCTGCTCTTATCTAAGGCATGAACATCTTTTTTGAACTAAAAAGTTATTTTTGCAGAATTTTTTTCAAATGTGGAAAAACAATTTGTTTTTTTGGCAGAAGCCTGATATATATTCATGATGATATTATCTTTCAAATTAATAGCCACAGAGCCTAAGTAAAGAACTTCACCATATTTTTACACAAATAACATGCATTTCATGTTATTATTATTATTATCTTGCCAACAAAAACTTTTTTCCAAGTATTGTTGTAAGCATGTTAAATGCAAAAAAATACAGAATGTGTGTGGCATTTGCTTTAAAATAGGACAACTCTTTCATTGTTCTCCACTTCTTCTGTTGTTAATCCTATGGTTCAAATTCCATTATATCTAAGTGAGAGCTTTGGAAAATTCTGTAGTTCAAGTATAAAGAAGAAAATGCTAATTTACTACAAGAACTACTTCCTCAAGTTGAACACAATCATTTTCAATTTGGTACTAGTTCCACCAAGGTTTTTTTTTTCACAAAGTCACCAAAGAAATTTTCAAACAGTAAATATAAATATCTCCCAAGTACGTTTGTAATAGATTAACGTTTATTGTTTTCTGAAATGCAAATTTTTGTTGTTGAGTCTATTTAACCCTTGACTCATTGCAACTCCAAGCACAGTGAAATGTAACAGCACCCAATCCTTTGCCATTCCTATGATTAGTTGTGGACTGGATCATTGTGACCACAGAGCTTCCACTGGCTGATTTTTGGAAGTAGGTTGCCAGGTCTTTCTTTCTGGTCTGCCTTATCCTAGAAGCTCTGCTACAACCTATTCAGCATTACAGCAACATGAAAGCCTCCACTGACAAATGGGTGATGGTGTCACATGAGTCCATTAGCAGAGAACTGAATCTGGCTCCCACCAGCCACTCCTTGGAAGGAAGATTGGGCTATCTACTTCTATTGAAATACTGCCTTAGAAACCCAATGAGGGGTCTCCATGAGGCAAAATCGATTCAATGGCAGTGAGTTTGGGTTTTTTGGTTTTCTCCTGCATGAAAGGTGAGAATCCTACTGCTGAACCACCAATGCCCTCAAATGCAAATCTGCATTTATTTTTAAATGCAAATTAAAGATCCTGTAGCCTATGATATGCATTTTTTTCCATTATTAAGAAAGGAGATTTCTCAAGAGTCTGTTTCACAAAGTTAATATGGCCCAGAGAAAATATCTCAAAGACAAAATCTCTCTCCATCCCCAACTGATATTTATGATTTCCACATGCTGTTCACAAACAGGGCTCTTTCTTCAGTTCATTTTACACTGATTTGGGTCACTCTGTTCTAGGCACTGAGAATAAAGTGTGAAATAAGGTAGCTAATTTGTAAAGTACTCTTGACCTCCTTACACAAACTGAGATGATGTATTTTGATATTTTTTTCACATACCTCCCAAAATTAATTTTGAAAAACCATGTACTGTCTTGCAATTACTTAAAAATTATAACTGAGATCTGAAAACTTCCATTATGAGTTCAGTTGGTTACAACAGATATGATATCTACTGCTTTGTAAATATTGATATTTTAAAAAGAAATATTTCTTAACTTTTTAAAAAGTGTCATATAAATGATCTGAATATTATATTATATGATGGCCACCATTCTCCCTGTAAGAATGAGTGAACAAATTCTTCCTTTAACAGGCAAGTATTACAGAATGTCCCTTCATACTTGAACACTTATTTCCATTCCACTAACCCACAAAATTTTATTCTTATTGAAATGGATTTTTTAAAACTTTTATAATGATTTGGGTGAAACATTACAGAGCAAATTAATTTTCCATACAGCATTTCATAAACATTTTGTTTCATGACATTGACTGCAATTCCCCACAATGTAACAGCTTTCTTCCCACTCCCCTCCCCTGTAGTACCCTCTTCCTTATGTCCTTCCCTCCCATGTACTCCCACCACTTGAGCTATCTCCCTGTGTAAATAGTGCCCTTCTATTCTTCCATAATTGATTGTTCCAAGGAGTGTATCTACCTAATGCAAACCTCATCCCATTTGCCTGCCTATTGTCTGGC